GGAAAGAGGAAGATGAGTTTGCTCCACTATGAACACAATGAAAGTAAGTTGAGGTAGTTTACTCTACCAGCCAAACTTTTCTCATAAAGCAATTTTTCTGAAACTCTTACTAGTGAACGGCACTGGGAAAATTCCATGACAAAGACTAGATTCTTAACACAGATGTGCATTCTATGACGAGTTTTCAAATCCTAAACAGTAAACAAGACTTTGTGTGCTTTCAGACAGATAATAAAAAGTTTTGATCCCTACAGAGTTTGTCCGGACAGTTTATTCATTTATCTTTTGCAGTCATAGCCGACCTTTTTTCTTTTTCTGACTCAGGTCTTTCTTTTATAAAAACTCCTACTCGATAATATCCCCATACTTATAAAATGGTTTTGATCGACTGAAAAAGAAGGATGGCACCGCATGAGATCCGCACAGCTCCGGAAGTACTGCCCAGAACCCCAGCCTGACACACCTCACCCTCGATTAACGGCGGCCAGCAGCTTCCGTAAGCTCACCCGTGCGCTGCAGCCTGACTCTCCCATGTGCTGCATCTTTCTGTTACTAAGACAGAATGTTACAAGAGAGAAATCTTATCTTGGTTTCGATTCATAATACACTTTTACAGAGTCTTAGGACAGAGTACTAGTAATAAATGGGTACTAACTGGCATACGGTCCAACCTAACAGTTTAGGCACAAACCTTAACTCGGTGGGCAGCAGGGTTAGGCATAATACACCCTCCCAAGTGCAGTAGAAAAGCGGTCTTGGTATGACTGGATATGTTGACTTGCATATAAGGATTTTGTTTGTGTTTACCAAAGCCTCGAACTTGAACACGGTGGTCAGTCAGATATGTGTTCCCGCCATGGGAAATGCACCTTGATGTTTTAACTTCAATATTTTACATTATACCAATTCCCGCCTCAGTGTTTTAACTGTAATATTTTACATTATACCAATTCCCACTCCCTTTCCTTTTGATAGTTACTAGCCTCCACGGTTTACAGGCATGCCTAACTGGAGACACTGATTCCTCCCAGGTAGTTTTTTCAAGTTAAAGGTTCTCCTAAACAGGAGCTGAAGCTCAAGCTTTTAAGCATTATCAAACCACCAGAGAGGTACCATACCGAAGCCCAGCACGCAGAACCCGTTCCAGTCGCCGTCTCTGCTCTCCCTCGTGTAAAGCTATGTTACGGTCAACTCAGGTCAGGATCTCGCCTCCTGCTCTGCTTCCTCTTCAAGGAGAGTGAACACGGATGCGGAACAGGCCTTGCTTGAGCTGCAGGCGGAAAAGCTTGCAATTCGCAATGCGCAAGGCTGCACACCCAGTGCGGCGGAGGTCGGATGGAAGGAGTGGCTTGGTGTGGTGCCAGGTTCCTGTGCTCCTTTTAAACTCGCGCACGTAGTCGTAATTGGTACCTAAACCACAAAAGTCAGCGAAGGTGAGACGAGGTGCCTCGGAATCAGCAGCCGGCGGCTCCAGCCAACTCACTGTAGGTCTTACCTGTATCAAGGTCTCCAATCACATAAATACTGGCTCCTATAGGGACAGCGCCATAGACGAAAGAGGAACTGGCAGGGATGCATAAATTCTGGTCATTAAGGTAGATCCACCTGGAAGAAAAATGGATGGACAAAATGAAGGAAATGAAAAGGATGACTCTATCTGGGAAGACAGGGACCACAGAACGTGGTGAGCCCTCAACGGTCCTACAGCGTGCCACGCTGGTCCCTACACTCCGCCTGCAGATACCCACCGATGCCTTCCTGTCACTAGGGCACCAGTCCTGTCTGTGCCAGGCATCATCTACACACACCCAGAGAGAGCACGCTTTTTTTTTTTTTTTTAATAAGATTTTTGCCATAGGGCATGTTTGCTCACTGGAGACAAAGAGAGGGAAAGTAAGAAATCATCCCCCAGGGGAGATGGCGGCACCACAATCCCTTCCCCATTCTCCTCTCGGGATTTTGGGATCCCATGCACACGTGCTTGGCATGATTTTCAAGATGCCAGGTCTAGGTATTGAACCATGGTTGACCATGTGGAAATCCAGCACCTTAACCACCATGCCACCTGCTGGCTTCAAGAGCATGTACTTTCCAGTCTATCTCTCTGGCTCAGCATAAAGTTTCTGAGTCATCCCTGCTGCTGCATGCCTTGGTAATTCGTTTGTTTCTGAGTGATTTCGTTGTTTCTAAGTAGTCGGACACTATGTGGGTGTACCAGATGGCTTATCCATTCACAGTTGATGTTCATTTGGCTAGCTTCCAGGCTTTGGCCATTGTGAACATTAGAGTTAGGTCATTTTTGCGGCCTTATGTTAAGGCATGGGAGGGTTATAAGGTAAGGGTACACAACCCACTGCTTTCCAAAGTGCTGTGCCACTGCATTCCAACGAGCAGAGTATGAGAGCCCCAACTGCTTGGTGCTACTTGTCAGCTCTTGGCACTATCTTTTAATTTTAGTCATTTTAATGACACACATTTCCCTAAGGCTAATGATGTTGAGCACCTCTGTATGTCTTATCGGCTTTTATGTACATTCTTTTAGGAAATGTCTGTTCAAAGATTCGCTCATTTAAAAATTGGGTCTACTGTCTTTCTATTACTGACTTGTGTAGTTGGTGGACACAGTCCTTTGTTGGTTACGTGCATTGGGTTGTCAGAAAAGTCACGACACATTTTCTATGCTTCTCTATGCAAAAATGCAGCAGAACTTTTCTGACAACCCAGCACTAGGAATATCCCCAGCATACAGACTGCCTTTCTATCTTCTGAATGGAATTTATAAAGAACAGATGAATTCAAAAGAAATTTTGATGAATTCCAATACATCGTCGTCACCTTTTTTTTTTTAAACTTCTATTTTTATTTGACCAAAGAGGGACAGAGTGAGAGAGGAAGAGGGGAGTGAGAAACCAAACTGCCAGGTTTGGGACTTGAACCACGGTCGACATTGTGGGAGTCCAGTGACTTCAACCACCATGCCACCTATTGTTCCTCATCTTTTTTTTTTTTAGATGGGGCTTGCTGTTTTGTTTTGTTTTGCTATAGGGTACATGCCCTTGCCAGACAGACAGAGAGAGTCAGAGAGACAGAAAGTGAGAAATCACCCCTGGGAGGATGGCCACGCCGCAATCCCTTCCCCTCCGTTCTCCTCTCGAGATCTTCGGCACGCATGCACACGCGCCCAGCGTTGAGTTTTAAGCCACCAGGTCCGGGACTTGAACTGCAGTTGACTACATGGGAGTCCAGCGACATAGCCTTGATGCTAACCGCTGGTCCCGGGGCTTGCTGTTTTGTAATACTCCTGCCTCAGCTTCCCCAGCAGCAAGGTCGAGCATGCCACCACCGCTGGGCCTCCTTGTCTTCTTTCATGTTATGCTTTCTGTGTCCTTCTAGGAAATTTTCCCTTAATCCCAAAGTTACAAAGATTTTCCTACTGTGTCCTCTTTTGAAATCACATAGATGTATGCGTGTTCTAAAATCACCTAGATGTGTGTGTTCAGTCATCTCAGGAAGTCTTTAGCTGACCCTGGATCCACAATGCTTGAAACCAAGGCCGAAGGCACTGAACTGAGACTGGGGCTGTCACTCACTGCAGGTGGGACAGCTTGCCATTTGAGTCTGATGAAGTTAACTGCCCACTAACAAGCTTACAGCAACACTTTCAAGCAATAAAAGAAAATTCAGGGCTACAACAACATAATATTCACAGTATCTAGAGGACGCAATCCAGAATTATTCAACAGAGTCAGAAAAATTAGAATCCATTCTCAAGGGAATAAATAATCAACAGACGCCAACTCTGAGATGCCTCAGATACCGAGTTACCAGGCAGGGAATTGAACACAGCTACTATAACTCTCAACAAGAGAAGGGAAAACATACTTGTGATGAAAAGATGGGAATTTCAGCACAGAAAAACAGAAGTCTAAAAACAAACTATGAAATTTTAGAAACTGACAAAGCAAGAGCTAAAACAAAAAAACTCAGGCTGGCCCTGTAGCCAAATGGTTAAGGGAGCAAAGCCCATATATGACCTACTGTGGCTTGAGAAATACGCTGGGCGTGTGAGTGTACCCAAAATCCTGTCGAGAGAGGAGGGATTGTGGTCTGACCACACCCCACTGGGGCTGCCTCCTTCTTCTCCCCTGGCCTATTTCTGGTGAGTGCATGGACCCTCTAATAATTAAAACAAACAAATCTGCTGGACGATCCTAAGAACAGAATGGAGATAACAAAGGAAGAAGCAGAGTTAAATAAAAATCACCAAACTACAGTGCTGGAAGCCACATGGCCGACTGTGGGTTTGGATTCATGGGCTGGTCTGCAAACACGCTGGGTGCATGCACACGAGCTCAAGATTCTGAAGAGCTGGAGGGCAGGAGAAAGGGGACTGCAGAGTGACAAGACATAGCTGAAGGTGCTTCTCTCTCTCTCTGGTGTGTATGCACATGCTATCATGAAGACAAATAAACTTAAAAAAAAGGAGGGGGGCTAAAAAGATCTATAATCAATTATCTAAAATGCTACCTGAAGAAGTAGAAAGGAAAGAGAAAAGTAAACCCAGCCTAAGTAAAAGAACAGAGATAATACAGGTAAGAGAAATCAGTGAAATCAGCAGCCAGCTCTCTGTCCACAAGGGGTACCGGAGGGCGGTAAGATTGGGAGACAAAGGGCCACTCCAGTCTCAGTCAGCCCCTCGTCCTCCTACTGTACCGCCCATCAGCATGCAGCTGGCCAGGGGTGCAAACCCTCGGCAAGTTCCCCTCTGGAGGCCACAGCACACCCTCCTCCAACAGTGAACCTCAGTCTGTGGTGCGGGAAGGACTCTGCCCAGTTAGTCTCCTCCAGAGCACTTTCTCTCAGTACCGAAGGCAGAGGCTGTGCTTCCTACATTGGCCGCTTCGACTTCAGAATCCCCTCACGCCCCTTGAGTAGCTGACTACCTCTTACTAGTTAATAACAGCGAATATCACACTTACTGTTCAAATACTCACGAGGCTACCTCCTGACTGGACCAGGACTGAAAAAGGTATGGTTAGGAGTGGAGTTTGCCCTTCATCCTGTATTTCACATATCCTATAAGGCATGTGAAGTACTTGCTTTTTCCTAATCATGAGATCCAAACAGCATAATGTGGTGTAGACGGTGTGCTGTTCTGTGGAACATCGAGGTGACAAAGATCTCTGCAGGACTGCCACAGCCTCCAGACAAGACTGTATAGTGTACTATTGGTCCTGCCAGGTAACAGCAAACTGCTTCTGGTGGTCCTCGCAAATTGGAATGAAGAAAAAAAACACCAGTGAGGCCGGCAGTGGTGTGGTGGTTTAAGTGCTGGATCCCCACGGTTTGGGTCCTGGATCTGGTGGCTTACTTTCTCACTTTCCTTTCTCTGTCATTGTCTCATATAATTAAAAAATAATAACAAATACAAATTTAAAAAAATAGTTCTTAAAAAACAAACAAACAAGGGAACTAGCAGTTAGCGTAATGGCTATGTCGCTGGACTCCCACGTAGTCAACCGCGGTTCATGTCCCGGACCCGGTGGCTTAAAACTCACGCCGGGCGCGTGTGCGTGCGTGCCCAAGATCCCGAGAGGAGAATGGAGGAGAAGGGATTGCGGCATGACCATCCTCCCTGGGGGGTGATTTCTCGCTTTCTGTCTCTATGTCTCTCTCTGTCTGGCAAGCGCACGCGCCCTACAGTGAACATCTCTCCAAAAACAAACAAACAAACAACCAAACAAACAAAAAACAACCCAAAACATTAGCTAGGTCAATAGCTACATACAAAGGCCAGAGACGGTGTTCATGAAGATGTTAAAGTTGTATGAAGATACTCCATCTGGGGTAGAATGGTTGACCAGTGTAACCACCTGATGACACTTGTGACATACATAGTCATTTTCCAAGATTTACCGAACTTCTGTGCTTTTTTCAAGTGACAGAAGTGAGGATAGGTATCACCACTCCTGAATTTTAACTCCTTAATGGTGACTAATTCCCATTGCTCCTGGTTTTCTATCTCTATAGGCAAGAAAAGTTCCAAGGACTCCCACTCAGCTCTTCCTGACATGAGGGCCCCCAAACCAGGGGTCAGAGAACCAAGTTGGAGAGTCTGCCAGTTATCAAATATGTCTATTCCAATGATCCATTCAAAGATCAAAACAGACAGGTCCAGATTTCAAAACAGTTAACACAATTTATATAAAAATATTAAAGTGTGGGTGTGGCACTGAGCCTGAGTCAGTGCACGAGACAGTGACACACAGGGGGCTGTAGAAGGGAGGGGACGCACAGAACCTGCACTCAGATCTGTGAGAAAAAGAATTTTGAGCAAAGGAATGAAACGACCAAAGTTTTTGTCCAACTGATATTCCGAAGCCAAAGGACATAAAATGAATTAGTGGAAACTGATCACAGAGTTTACGATACTGCACACAGAAAGAAGCAGCGACATTAGGGTAGGAGCAGAGGAATGGAGATGAAAAATAATACGCGTGTGTGATATACATAAATAGATCCCCCCAAAGAAGCCTTGGCAACTGATGAGATATGACGTCCAGGAGAGTCAGTGAGTACCTGGGAAGGTGCTGGTCTTATCTGAA